ATCTCACCTGCGTGCAGCGTTCGACCGTGCCGCCTTCCGCCAGACCAGTCCACCTAGCCAGTCCACTTCAGCGACTCTCGCCGACCGGATCGACGTCTACGCGTTCGCTGTTTCTCCGCTTACTTGCGCCAGCGACGACGCAATACCGCGTGCTCTGGCGGATTCCGGCAATCTGCCTCGGGATTTCTCGCGTATTCGCGATTTTCTAGATATTTTTGTCTACTACGACCAACTTGTTGACGTTGATCAGGGTTTGAACCACGCCGAGGATGTTAAAGTAAGGGGAGGAAGCTATGATGAAGTTGACTAACGTCTGAAAGCAAGTGAAACACTGCCAGAAGGAATATCGTACGCCTGGACTGTTGGTAAAAATAAGTGTGTCAACCAGTGATATTTCTGTGTTATAATCACAGCAAGCTCTTGATTTAAAGCTTTCCATTGATCATTACACAATTATCAAGCATCGTGGATACAGAAAAGTGTAGATGGAAGTCAACGTGGTAGCCGTTGGTCGAGATGTAAGCTAATCGCTGGAACGCTCCTTTCTCCGCAAATTGCTCTCTCCCTTCCTCAGTGAAAGAGTGCGCGCACCGAAGGACACGCTGGTAGCCCGGCAGCAGGTGGCCAATTGATGTATTCGCCTCCACGCCACGAGGATGATGATGATGGACATGGGCATGTACGGAACTTACGGCAAGCCTGACTCATACCCCAACTACGTGTGCACGGGTCAAGGAAATCATCATCATCATCAACCCGTGTCCGTCGGGGGACACGTGCCTGTGCCAGCTTCGCCGGAACTCGCTCCAGCACACTACTTCCCTCAGACTGCGGTCTCACCTTACTCGTCCTCTTCCTCGGAGAGCTTCCTGGCGTCAGAGTCAGCCACATCTTCCGGTACGCCTCCACAGGGCTTCTACTCGCCGTCGGCGGGTGTTCTGCACGAGGATGGTTCCACGACCGCGATAATCTCCTCGGAGAACGGTCTGAGTTATACTAATTTGGACTACGCTTCCTCGTCGTCATCGTACGGTCAGCAGCACCAGCACGCGAACGGCTCCCATGGATCGGTAGATCCTCACCAGAGTTACCACGTTCAGCAAGCGGCGTACAGAGACGACCATCATCATCATCACCATCCCGCTTCTTCCTCGGGCAACGGTCTTCATCAAGGTCCCATGATGACCGCTGGCCACTCGAGAACGGAGCACGACCAACAGTTGCACCATCAGTCTTCTAGTCATCACCATCATCACCACCATCATCATCACGAGCCCGACTATCAGCTCGCTGGTACCACCAACTATCTACATCAGCTGCCCACCACTGAAGACTCGCTTCACTATCATTCGCAAATCCGACAAAACGACTACAGTGCACATTCCGCTGGCCACTACAAAGAGGAAAATCCGGATCCATCGTGTTATCACGTGTTGCAACAGTCGGGCCATCCTCAACACCCGCACCAACATAGTCACGGACATCATCATCAACAGCATCCCCATAGTCACCATCCTCCGCAGCAGCAACAGCCGCAACAGCCACACGTACCCACTTACAAATGGATGCAAGTGAAGAGGAACGTGCCCAAACCAGCTGGTACGTATTTTGATATTCGATGATTTGGGAGGAGGTTTGACTGGCGTGAAATTACTGGTCCGTGGGGCGATCCGGAGGCAGCTCGTTATTCAGCTTCTGTTTATCCAACGAGATGACTATTTTAAGTGTCACTAGTGGGAGAATCGTGCCTGTCCACTCTATTGATTCCTATCTCATGGAAAATTAATGGTCAATCGAGAAGACGGTCCGATAGAGTTACTTTTCAATCTTGTATCTTCCACGATGGTTTCATTCGGCTTATCGTTGATTAATGCGGATGAAAAGTAGGTTCAGGTACCTTTTCGATATTTGATGCGTTTGATCTACGTACTTCGTCGACTTTAGTCATAAAGTCGTATATGGTTTGCAAATAGAGGTTATTTTCACTTCTTTCAATTCTTTGTAAAATCCAGGAAGAAGAATTGTCGTATTTAAATTTTTGAGTGATATGGACACAATTTACGAAATCTTAAAAAGTAGACAAAATTGTTTGTAATTTTAAAAAATATAGTGTCTAGAAAAAATGGCATTGTGCGTACCAA